GCATATAAACTAATCTTTTTAGTGTAAAAAAGTTGACAAAATTATATTTGTAAACTATATAATATGGTCTCAATATAATACAAACTCTCTATTTTCTCCTTCATCATTTTTTCTCTTTTGTCTCCACTCAACTTCTTTCTCTTTCTCCATCAAATGGGAAAAAAGATAACAACTCTCAGAGATCTCATCGGCGCCATTAAAGACAAAGCTTCACAATCCAAAGCCGCTTTCATCTCTAAACCAAGCAGTTTCTCCCTCCACCTCGCCGTCCTCCGCGCCACCACTCACGCGCCGTCATCACCACCCGATGACCACCACATGTCCTCCCTTCTCACCCTCGGTGACAGCTCACGCGCCACCGCTTCCTCACTTATCGTCATAATCATGGACCGACTCCACCGCACCGGCGATTCAACCGTCGCACTCAAATGCCTTTTAATCATACATCAAATCATCAAACGCGGACCGTTCATACTACAAGATCAACTCTCCATATTTCCGGCTACCGGCGGACGTAACTACCTCAAACTCTCCGCCTTCAGCGACGGCGCTACCGCATCCAGATTCACAATCTCCGCCTGGATCCGATTTTACTCCAGATACATCGAATCTCTACTCTGCACTTCCAGAATTTTAGGCTATTTTCTCTCTTCTTCGTCTTCTTCGTGTAACACAGATGAAAAAATCTCCACCTTCTTAAACTCAGATCTAATCAGAGACGTCGATTCGTTAGTTCAATTGATCGAAGAAACGGTAAAATTGCCGGATTCACTACTACTCGACGGCAACAAATTGCTCTACGAAGTGATCGGATTACTGAGCTCCGATTACTTATCGACGGTGAACGAGTTGTTAATCCGGCTCAGTGAGTTCAAGGAACGGCTCAGTTGTTTGAGCTTCGGTGATTCGGTAGAGTTGAGTTTTATTTTGAAGAGATTAGAAGGATGTAAAGAGAGATTATCGGTTTTATTTTCAGTTAAAAAGCCATCGACGGAGTTATTATGGTGTTCGGTATCCGAATTGAGCTTAAAAATTGATGATTTGAAGGTTGATTTTTCGAAACGTAAGTTAATTACGTTCGAAAAATCGAGCGAATCGGCTCGGTTTAATAACCGAGTCATGAAATTTGGTGACTCGGTTCAGTTTTCGTCAGGGAGATATGAGATGACTAATTTACCAATGATTGTTGAAGGAAGAAATTGAACAAATAAAAAAATTGGATTTTTTTATTTTTTTTTTGGTTATTATGTGTAACAATATGTTAGAAAGTGTTAAATCTTGATATGTTCCCACAAGCATTTTTGTGTATATAATATATGGTACATGTATACCAATTTGGGATTTTGATTGTATTTTATGGTTCTCTCTATAATGCGTATTTTTGACATTGTAGTTAATTTGTACTCTATTTTAGAAGAATTATATGAATCGAAAATTTATGAAAGGAAATTTAAGGTTAAGGTTATGGAGTGAAGGAAGTTCATTTTCTAAATTCAAAGAGTGATTGAGTCTAACTCATGCGAATCATGAGTGAAGGCGTGGCAAGAGAGCGATTGTACCTCTCGTAGATAAATACCGACTAAATCAAGAGTCTTGGTCGGTCTCTAGGATCCTTTCTGAAACTACTTCATCGTTTATCTATTTATTTCGAATAAACTTGATATTTAAGATTTTACATGTCTAGAGTTTAGACATAATGTTTGAACTTTCATCCATATGTTATGAGCTTCAGATAAAAATGTATTGAATTTAATACATACGATGAAAGTTAAAGGTAAAAATAATCAAACTTTAGCTATGTAAAAATTTAACTCCGCGCGCTGTAAATTAACTTAAACGGGGATTCCAACATCAAATATTTATGTTATGAAAAAGGTTAAGTATACATGTAATTACTTTCATGATGAATTTTGCATTCTAAATTATAAATTTGCCTATGTTTTTGTGCATGGAGAAATGATGAAAAAATGAACCGTTAAATTGCCACTTTATTAAAGAGAATATTTGAGGTTTTTTTGTCAGTGTATTCTACTATTGGAACAACATGGTCCCCTTGACGTTTTTACCGTTAGAAGAACTTTGTCTTAAGTATTTGTCTGATTGTCTCTCTATATAAACATTTCATTTTATTTGTATATTTTAAGAAAGGGATAATACATATATTGGACCTTAAACTTGGCTTCAAATTTTAACTTTGACCTCCAACTTTCATAGTGCACAAACAGACACTTTAACTATCCAACCTTTTAATAAATAAACACGCGTGTCTTACCTGGCAAAACGCGTGATGTGCACGTTTTTTGCGCGAGTTAGGAGTGATTTTTGAGGCCTACAACAGTAAAAAAAAATGCTGAAATGACAACTCTACCCTTAATTAATTTTATTTTATTTTTAGTTCAAAAATGCACGTGTAAAGTGTTTAATTAGTTGGCAGCCATTGAGTGGCTCACTAATACACGTGGCAGCGTTTGCTCTTCACGCTCTTGGCTCCAAAAATCGCGTGTTTATTTATTAAAAGATTGGATAGTTAAAGTGCTTGTTTGTGCACTATGAAAGTTGGAGGTCAAAGTTAAAATTTGAAGCCAAGTTTAAGGTCCAATATATGTATTATGCCTTTAAGAAATTCTTTATGGAATGATATGATCAACTAGTAGTGATAGTATGTTAGCAACGTTAATGTGTTAAATATCTATGGAATCAGATTTTTTTAAAAGCTTACGAGCAAGTAAAAAGAGCTTTAAGCCTTCACATAAACTAACACCAGCAAAGGTGGACCCACATGAAAGAGCGATAGTGCACATGCATATATTAACTTTTGAATTATGTTAGGGCGGTGTGTCTCTAGACATTGCTTCGACTAACGTTCATCCTCCCTAATTAGGTGATGCTCCTGTCATATTCAAATTCTAGATTCATCTTTCAGTTATGCCAGAGAAGTGGAGCACCAAGTTACTACTTCGGCGATTAAAATATAACATTGCGACCTACTTTGATTTATTTTATTTTTAAAAAAATAATAATCTAAGCAGCATAATGTATAAATTTGTGAAAGGGGAAGCTTATTTATTTCTCATGACTGAGACATCAGTTACTATATATTTGCAATTATATATTAAGTCAGACTATTATTATGAAAGCCTAGTGGTGCCATAGAAGTACATAATAATATGGTCCAATTGCTCAAAATATTTAGCATAGCAATAAAAGCACTTTACCAACTTGTGTATGATTTATATTAATCAAATTTTGATGTCAAAGCAAATTAATTATTACAATGGTACTTACCCAAAAATATATATAAGTGGTGATAAAAAAAGGTTCAAATTTCAGTAGAGACAAGAACACTAAATAATTTTTTCATATTTATCGTGATCTTGATGAACAGAGTTACTTAGCACTCGTTGCTAGTAGAAGGTGATATTTTTCAATATATTCTAATTTTGATGGGCAAATTACTTGGTACTTATTGACAATGTTATTTAACATATATCATGTAGTCCCGTAAAATTAGTCGCATGAAAACCGACCTTTATACCATAATTATAAATAATAATAATAATAATAATAATAATAATAATAATAATAATAATAATAATAATAATAATAATAATAATAATAATAATAATAATAATAATAATAATAATAATAATAATAATAATAATAATAATAATAATAATAATAATAATAATAATAATAATAATAATAATAATAATAATAATAATAATAATAATAATAATAATAATAATAATAATAATAATAATAATAATAATAATAATAATAATAATAATAATAATAATAATAATAATAATAATAATAATAATAATAATAATAATAATAATAATAATAATAATAATAATAATAATAATAATAATAATAATAATAATAATAATAATAATAATAATAATAATAATAATAATAATAATAATAATAATAATAATAATAATAATAATAATAATAATAATAATAATAATAATAATAATAATAATAATAATAATAATAATAATAATAATAATAATAATAATAATAATAATAATAATAATAATAATAATAATAATAATAATAATAATAATAATAATAATAATAATAATAATAATAATAATAATAATAATACACAACTTGATGTCTATAGATTCCCAGTACAACTACAGTTTGTACTACAAATAAATAATGTCAGTGCCAACTATTTATTTTTTAATTACAAGCAGACAAATTTCTTTTTTCTCTCTTACTATAAAATAAAATAACAAAGGAGAACCAATTAATTAATTAAGGAATAAGAAAAAAACATAATTTATTTCTGTACCTCAAAAGTCAAAAGGTTGAATTTGTACAAAAAGGATAATTACTAGAAAGAATTATTAATTGGAACAAGTTAATCAAGATTTGTGAAGTTGCCAAACAAGAATTAATAAAATAATTTGTTGACATTTTCCAATTAAGATTATAAAATTAGTACATAATTTTACTAGATCAAGATTTGAGAAGTTGTCAAAGATGACCACTTTCTGTTTTGACCTTTTTTCTATGTTTATGACTATGATGAATTGATGATGTACTATATTTTGACTATTTTATAAAGTATTCTTAACCATTATTGTGGAAAAAGGCCCAAATGATGTGGGAAAATTATTGGGCCTTAATATTGAAATCCAGAAACCCTAAGACTTCATATGATTGATTAATGGCGATTTTCAATAGTATCTGTAAAATCTCGAAGCTTACTAGACTATATTTGACCAAAAATTAAAAGTTTGGATGTTTTACTTATTCTTCTTTCATTTGGGAATGAATATGAGAGCATCTAATCAAAAACCTTAAAATAATAGGTGGGGTCCATGACCATTTGGCGAGTTCTCATAATTCTATTTTTTTTTTCTCTATTTAAATCAAATGTTCTAATAACTCATGAGCGTTCTAGTATAAATGTTGTTGCTTCTAAAAAAAATATTATATGGCCTGGCTCGAACTTGAAATCTTTCGACTATTTCATAGAATCAAAATCAATCAATTTCTATGTTTACATTTCTACATACAAAAAATACATACCATCAATCAACTTCATTTAAAATTTATACATATATTAGTACACTTTGTGTAGAAAAGAAAAATTACAACTAGCTTAATTAGACTGGAAATTAAATTAATGCACAAAATTTCGATATAAAATATCCAATATTCTTCTTGTTTTTTTCGTCATCATAATAGTTTAGCAAAATTCTTCGCTAATTCTATGAAGTCAAGTGACCAACATCGTCCCATTTCCTTACATGCATTGAAGCCTTCTCTGCCTGCATTTCCAACAAAAAGATTTTTTACTATTAAATCGCTTAAAAAATAACTATATATATATATATATACGATCAAAAAACAAGGTTAAGTGTCTTTGGACTTTATTCACACTTAAACATTGTATGCTTGTGTCGATAGGTACTTAACGGGTGGTAGAGAATGTTTTACTCCCGATAAAGTAAAATTTTTCAATGTGAATTCGAATTAGTCAGATCCTCAAAAATGAGATTAAACACCGAATGAGAAATAAGAGACAAAAATGTTACCTCTTTAGTCCAATCACATCTAATTGTGATTATAGCCAATATCAAAGTCTGAACTGCAGTTCCACCGAAGATCATTCCAGCCCATATTCCCTATAAAATAAAACAAACATTTCCATTAGCTTAAATTCACATTTAATTTATAGATAATATTTACCATTGAAAAAAATATTCAAATTAGATATAATCACTTTCAAAAACTTAAATTCCATGTTTACCAATTTATGCAGCACAAAAACCATTTGGTAGAAAGAATTTGTACAATGACGACAACTACAACATATTCAGTATGATTCCATAGGATGAGTCTAGAGAAAGTTGAGTGTACGTTGACCTCACCTCTACCTCGTGAAAGTAGAGAGACAGATTTCTACTTAAATAACACACACCAAAACATTAAAGGGTATATGAGGAGCATACCATGACACCATAGTGGAAACCCCAGCCCATAATAAAGCCCAAAGGGACTCCAAGTAAGTAATAGCAGCCCAAATTTATATATGCAACATATGCTTGCCATCCAGATCCAACAGCAACCCCTGTTAATATCCAAACATAAATTGACCAAAAAAAAAAAAAATTAAATCAAGAAAATAGACATAAAAATTGTTAATGAGTATGATTTAATTCATGTATACAATTTAATCCCTCCCACCCCCTTATATATAATTCGATCTAAAGGTAATAAATTCAGTCGAACTCATACAACATAGTCTGATATCACTGATTATCATCACAGACAGAATCTATAAGTCATGAGTTCAAGCGGTAAAAAAAAACCACTAATATTTGCATTAGGGTAGACTGTCTACATCACATCCTGAGTTGCATCCCTTTCATCATGTATTTCAATCGAACTTGCAGAACATAATCCTAAATCCGCCTCTGATCACCGATTTAACTAACATAACTTTAATCCCTTCTACGCCCTTATATATAGTTGATCTAAAGGTAATGAATTCAGTCAAACTTGTATAACATAAATATCATTAGGGACACAAAATCTAAAGCCAGTGGGGTTGAAAAGGAAGTCTTGGAGCAACAGTAAAGTTATAACCTTCATGTGACCTATACGTCAAAGGTTCGACTGTGTACATCAAAAATCCTGAATTGCATCCCTTTCCTCATAATATAATCTTAAATTCGCCTCTGATCACTGCTCTAACTAACATAACTTTAAAATGAACAAAAAATAACAATAAAATAGTATCAAATTTTTATAAAATTTACCTGAGAGGATGGGTTGAACACTGTTGAGTAGAACAGTGAAAGCTAATAGAATAGCTAGTTTATGAACAGCTTCAAGAACAGGTTTGCTAGTTGAGAAAATTAGGGCAAATTCATTGTGGAAAAATAAGATCAAAATCCAAAAGAATAATCCAATCACTGTTGATTGTATCACTGCTACTGCTGTTGCAAATTTTGCCCCTCTTCCATTTCCAGCTCCCAACTCATTTGCTACCCTTACTCTGCGTAACAGGTTCAACTGAATTTAGTATTCACGACATGAAATATATAAATGTATTATGTATGTGAGAGAAATTAAATCATGCATTAAGTGTCAAACTATAATAAATTAAATGATGATTGAATTCATCGAATTGAAATCTTAGATCCATCTCTATATATGGTATACCGATGATCACATTGTATAGTCAAAATCATGCTTGAGACTCATCAATGATGAATTTCTTCATCCGTGAGTATAGATGAAGTCAGGATTTTAAGCTTATGGATTCAGGATCTCACTTCAAAAGGAATTGGAATTAGCTATGAACTTTGTTGCTAAATTACTCGTAGTTAACATAATTTTTGAATAATCCATTTAGTGACAATATATTATTTTATTTTTTTTCTTTCTCCTAATTAGGTAATCATTCAAAAATCATGTGTACTTTGGACAAAATCAATGTTGTGGACCTTGTATTATCAACAACATTAATGAGGATTATGTCAGATGCCAGTTTTCTGGTAAGCTTCTTGACTCTAAGCGGAGCTAGCATTTCGATTACGAAAATAATAATAATTTAAAAAATTAAAATTCAAAATCAAGTAGTTTCAAATTCTAATTTTGACTTTAATTACGATATTCTCGTAAGTAAAAGTGAATCAATAGCTAAAATTTAGAACTTATGAATTTTAAATTTGTCGCCAAATTTATAGTCATCATAATTATTGGGTTCACGATTATATATATAATATAACATAGTCATGGTGGCTATAAGTCTTTTATCCTATTTCTCAATCAAATGTAAGATGTAACAAATAACAACCACATATTTTCATAAATTATTTAAATGGAAGAATAAAAATTGAACATACCCAGTTCCAGCAAAGAATCCAAAAGGAATCATCAATTCCCAGCCATTTATACTCATGCTGCAAGAATTAAAATAAAAATAAAAATAAGACAATGACATATATATAGAATTAATATTTTTGTGTTGGGACAGTTTTTAGAAAATAAACTTAGTCATTTTCTTTTCTTTTTTGTAATAATAAATTATTATGTTCTTGTATATGACAAGTTGAAAAATACTTGGCCATTAAATTTGACTGAGATAGAACTATGAGACTTGTCATCTAAATAATGTCAAAGACAATGATAATGACAAGATAACAAAAATTAATTTTTTTGGGGTACATTTGTTAAATTTAAATTTGTAGTGTTATCATTAATAGTTATAGTCATTGGCGTAGCCACATACAATGAATGAATCGTTGTTAGTAGAACGTCTTTCGTTAAAAATATATATATATTGAATATCAAATATTCTTAGTGAAAATTTTGTTTCCTTGTTGGTTATAGTGTTAAACAAACATGTAAAAGATAGAATGATGAACCATGCAACTAATTAATGCAATTATCATTATCAGTATAATTTATTGGTTCACTAGTATACCTTTTTTTTGTTTTAAAAAAGTGTGATTAAGAAGAATTAAGTTTAATTACCAGATGGATAATGCATCCAAAGCAATTTTAGCATTCTCCAAATTACCAGTCATCACAATTAGCACCTTGTAGTACCAGTTCTCCAAGCTGTTCCATTTACAACAAAAAAATAATAATTAAAACCATTAAGCATAATAAATAAATTATGATGATCTGACGTTTCAAGCTCGAGTCATAAATATATATATATATATAAGGAACTCTTTCGCCTTGAAGTGAAATTTCGTAACATATCTTGGAGTTCTCATGTGGAATCTGAAACTCCATAACAGTGACTATTTGGCTCAACCATTAAAAGATAGCCGCTATCATAGGTCCCAAACTTCAGTAGTGAAATTCCTTGACATGTCCTAAAGTTCACATATATGGAATCTAAAACTCCGTCACATTGATTAATTGACTTTGTCTTTAAAAAATAGCCACTATCATAGCGTTTCAAACTCCAGAAGTGATTCACACATGAAAGTCCATGACATGTCCTGGAATTCACACGTGAAATCTGAAACTCCGTCACATTGATCAATTGACACTGTCTTTAAAATATAGCCATTATCATTAAATTCCAAACTCCATAAGTGAAATTCCATGACATGTCTTGAAATTCACATGTGGAATCTGAAACTCCATCACAGTGATTATTTGACTCTGTCTTTAGAAAATAGCCATTAACATTAAATTCCAAACTCCATAAGTTAAGTTCCATGACATGTCCTGAAATTCACACATGGAATTTGAAACTCCATCACAGTGATTATTAGACTTTGTCTTTAAAAAATAACCAGTGTCACAAAATTCCAAACTCCATAAGTGAAATTCCAGTCCTGGAGTAATTCACATGTGGAATCTGAAACTCCGTGACAGTAACTATTACTATTTACAAATTTAGCCAAAGTTAGAAATTGTTACCATAGCATGACCCCAGAAGAAGCAGAAAGTTTGAAGAAGTCCCAAAGTCCAGAAAAAGCCTCCATACTAAATCCATTCCAAGAAAGTGGACATCCACCACAAGTTGTATAACAAAATAACACCAAAAACACCAACCACCAAGATAAATTCAAAGTAAATGTTGTCCCAATAATTCCCAATTGAAACTTGTACACAATAAGCCAACTTATCAACACATGGACTATAAAAGCCACAAAATTAGCCCAAGCAATCACATTGTTTTTCAATTGACTTTGCAAGAACCTTTGCAATGGGAATTGAAATGCAAAGCAAAAGTGTAATGGTATAAAGGCTAAAACTACAACTCCAGAGAGTTGTGAGACATCTTTTGGTTGCCCTAAAAATATCAAGACTGGTGTTGCAAAGAAAAATATTGGTAACATTATGATGCTACATAACAAGAGTACTATCCATGAACGTTGCAAATATACACCTAACATGTAGTATTTTTTAGCACCAAATGCTTGTCCACATAGTGTTTCCAATGCACTTGCCATACCTAGCTGCATAATAATATAATTTTTGTTAATCACTATAATAACGATGAATAATAATAACTACGCTTCAATTCTAAGCAAAGTAGGGTTGGTTATTAGAGGCAGAGTTGTGTGTAATAATGAAAGGATTTCAATTGAATCCCTCGTAAGGACGGTTGTTGAAAGATAGTATATATAGCTCATGTAAGAGCAAATAGTAATAATTGTGTTTCAATTCCCAAAGAGAATTAGGGTCTCAAATTAGACACTACTAGAAATAAAAGGTTTTCCATCAATGAAAAATTTATATCATAAAACATAAATTTTCCACCTATTTCTTATTGAACTAGATCATTGGGAAAACGTGTGGTGGGAAACAAATCTTGTTGAAAAATTGAAGAACTTCAATGGAAAATTTTCTTACTGATTCAATCAAAATATTAATGAAAATAGTCGATGAACATTTTCCCGCATGTAATGAAAGGAGTTTAATCAAATTCCTAACAAGTACGATTATAGAAAGATTGTACATAGCTCATGTTACAACAAACAATAATAACTATGTCTCAATCCTAAGCAAATTAGAATCGGCTAAGGGGAAGAGCTACATATAACGAAAGGGTTCAATTGAATCTTTCGTTGAAAAAATATATCGTAAAACATTATTTTTATGCAATACATACATAAAAAGAAAATATTGGAATTTCCTAGACATAAGTGGTCCAAGAATTTTTTTTCAAGGTTGCGTTCGAATCCCAAAAAGTTGACACTTTTGCATTTTTCAAAGAAAATTCATACATACACACATATCAATACTTCCAACTATAGAATTGAAACGTAGTCGATTGATTGATTGACTGATTCAGTAAAAACACGTTATAAAAGAGGGAAAACAACATACCATGAGTCCGAAATCGAAACCAAGAACAACATTACTAGCAATGGACATAGCTGCAAGTTCAAGATCACCAAGATGGCCAGCAAAAGCTTGAGTAATAACAAACATTGAATAAGAGACTATTCTACTAAAGATGGCTGGCCCAACTATAGGCCATAGCTTCTTTGTTTCTATCCAAAATCTTAAACCAAAACTTTGATCATTTTGTTCTAAATAATTATTATTATTTGTTGAAACATAATCTAATAAGGGCACTTTATTTTCTTCTATTAATTTCCCATTGCTAGACATTTTTTTCTTTATTCTCTCTCGTTAGGCAAAAGAAGAGAGAGAGAGAGAGAGAGAAAAGATGAGGAAATGATAGCAAGAGGAATTCATTTGTGTTGATAATGATTATATATATATAGTAGTCTACAAGGAGAACTCAAAAGAAAAAATAACTTATAATTAATAAAAATAATATAAGAAAATTAAAATTGAAATTTTCTTCTTATTTATTAACTATTCTTGGAGTAATCATTTGCTCCTTTGTCTTTTTCACCTTTGGTCTTTTAAGGGGTTGGTGGAAAAATTACACCAGCTTACCGCAGACATGATTACAAATAGAAAGATATAAATATCAAGAATAATTAGATAAAATGTTAGTAGGTTGAGTGTTGTCTAGTTACTGTTATATAATTGATTGTTGGGAAGTATAATTGCAAATCTTTGCTTTTCATTGAAATGCTGAAGAACCTGCAATAAACACCTTCGCCTTATCAGCAGTAACGGTAACTTATATATATATTACTCTTCTATTATTGTATTTTTTGAGTTTCTTCATTATTTTATGCATGACTATCTTCGCTATCGTATTTGTGTTAGATAGTTATTTTGATATATTTTACTTGAGTCATGAATCTATTGAAAACGATGTATCTATCTTTACAAAATAGGAATAAAGCTATACACACACCTATAAATTTACTCTACTATCAAATATAATTTAAATTCTGAATCTGCCTCGATAAATCGACATAAGTTGTACGTAAGTATGAAGTTCACGATTGGAAGATTGGGATCAAGAAATCAAGTTGTCCACATATTTTTGGAAAATAGTACATCAATTTTGACAAGTGGTATGTGACGGTTCAGCCCTTTTTATTCATTTATAAAATATTATAATCATTTTTTTTTCTGTGGTGAGTTCACAAGATGAAGTTTCTTTCTATCCACGTCTCTTTCTTTTTCTTACCAGATTTATAAAAACAAGACACCAAATAAGACCAAAAGGATATCTACCTTAAAAAATAGTAGAAATATAAAGAAATTCATTAAATATTTATAAATTATTTTTTAGTAACTTAAAAGAATTGGAATCTTAAATCTATTACAAGTTTTAGATTTTGAGTTCGCCTCTAAATTTATCAAGGTATTTTATGTAGAATATGAAACTTCGTAAGTCGTAATAATATGACTATTTTTCAAGCATGTGATCGAAATATGATATTATTTATGCAAAATTATTTAGTACTTGAATAACTCACTTCCAAATCTACTATCAAATTACCTCTTTATTTTTTTAATTTTTTGTTGAAAGGGTTAGATATATTAATAGACACTTAAAGTCGACATCAATTTTAGGATTAACATTTCAAGATAAAAATATTTCCAAAAACTGCTTGTATTATTTTTTTTGTGCATTTTTAAACATAAAACTTTAAAGTTATAAATTCATATTTATTTTTTTCATACATTTTTATACATAAAACTATTCTCTGCTAGGAAAAGTATCAAGTTCAATTGAATCGTATATTCATACGCCTCTACTAACAATAATATAGAATCAATCAGAGCCAGATTTAAAATATATCAAATTTAAAAAATTATAACAGTGACGAAAATACAATAGATTGATATATATAAACATTATCATGAGCTATTCCGTGATAAAACCGTCTCATCCATACAAAGGTATGAGGCCAAACAAAATCGAGTCAGCTTTTTTAACAATTTCAAAGAGAATTTTGCAGGGATAATAGCTATCTCTTTGGTTAAAAAATGAAAGACAAATATTTGCCATTAAAATGGACCTATCATATAATTTTGATATAATTAACCATATCGATTAAAAAACGTTATAGATTTCGAGTTGATAAATGAATGGGCCAAATATTTATTTTTGAATCGTAACTGCATTGTGAGGTCCCCATTACCTCAGAATACAGTACACTTGGTAGGTATTTTGCTAGTGATGTAATTGCTTACGTGTTATTTCGATATTTACGTGAACTAATAACTACTCCCTCTGTCCTAATTTATGTGACACATTTCACTTTTCGAGAGTCAAACAATTTAAGTTTGACCGAGAATTTGCTCGTGAAATCTTCAAATTTTTTAAATGAAATCCAAATATTTGTAAACTACATAAAAAGTACTATAAGTCACAATAATAATATTTAAAAGATATATGAAAAATTTACGGTCAAAGATAGACTTGTTTGAATCTCGAAATCCGAAATGTGTCACATAAATTGGGACAGAGGGAGTATAAATCAGTATAAAAAATTAACGTTGAAAATAATTGATTTCAATAGGTAAAAGGAGGATAAAATTACATTATTTCAATATATATTATGAATATTTTTTACTATTTTATGTATATATTATTGTTGTGGATCTCGTGTCACATGATTTTTAGATAGTATAATGAATATATTTCACAACTAAAAATAAAGATTTATTACTTCAAATTAATTAGAAATTTGTGTTATATAATATTATTTTTCCACTCAGTTTTCACTGAACCAACTCACTGAAAAAATGCATGATGAAAAACAAGTTATCACTGAAATAATAAGAAGCTTTTCAAATTTTCTAAATAATTTTTTCACACCGATTCAATCTAAATATATGTGCGAATAGAAACATAACGTTCATCGGTAATTAATTAATTGGAACAGTAATCCATTGGTAACAGGGAATGACTATAACGATTATTTTAGAAGTTGCACTTCACTAGCATAACCTTTTATACATTTAATATAGTTTAATATATAACAATAGTCTACTTATATTTCTTAATCAATAATAAATGCTATTAATTAGTTCTATAATCACATGTATCTAATTGTTTTTCATAGTTGCATATTATTGACCAAAAGGGGTGGGTCAATTTCCTTGTTTCCCAAGGGAAAGACCAAACTATTCCAACAATATTTTTTTTCAATATTAAATATATGTAATTAATATGCAGATCTATTTTAGCCTCTTTTATTTTTTTGGTCCAATTATTTAGTAGTCTCTTTATTTTTTTGGTCCAAATATTTAGTAGCCTCTCTTTTTTTGGGTCCAACTATTTAGTAGCCTTTTTTTTCTCCATATTTTTCACATTTAGCTTTTGAGAGTTAAATTATATAAAATTTAAATAATATTTTAAAAATATTTTTTTTTATCATGTTGATATAAAAAAAATATTTACTATATTTTTTGTATAGGTTTTGAGTATTTAAGTTTTAATTTTAAAATACTAAATTAATCTAATTTACTTTAATTTTTAAAATTAGTCAAATTAACTATCGAGAAATGAAACAACAACAACAATAATAACGTATTCATTGTAATTCTGCAAATAGAGTCTGAAGGAGATGATGTGTACACAATCTTATCTCTACCTTATAAAGGAACGATTGTATCCAATAGACTATAATTACAACATAGGAGTTAGGGGGCACAATCCGTAAAAGCCTTTCTGATTGCCTCCGCCCTATCTCTCTTAATTAAAGCTATATATAGATTCTTTCCTGTGTTTAGACATCGTATGCTAATATACATTTTTTTTCCTTAGCCAATTGAATTTTTTTAAAGAAGGTATGTTAAAATGTGATAAGTATTTTAAGACGAAAAAATAGTCAACAGTTTAAGTAAGCATTAAAAAAAAAGCCTAGTACGAAAGAGACCCCATTGACAGATATAATGTACCCATGCTTTTAATTAGAGAAAAAAAATATAATTATAGTTGAGTCACCTTTGAGTGAACCCAAAGTATATAAGATGAAATTAACCCATGAATTTAATTCTTTGGGGGCCAAGGATTTATTTAGACTCATGTGCGTGAGCAAATTCGTAAGCAATGATGTCTTCAATTTTTATTTTTTTCTCACCAGCCAAAAAAAAAAAATACAAAGAAGCAAATTCGGAATTTGAACATTTTGGTTATAAATATATGTATGTAGTAATTTTTAATGCATATATAATTAGTGGCGGATTTTTATTAAAGAGTTTTAAAAAAAATATGTAGTGTATAAAGTTTGAATTTAAAACCTTAAAATGAATTTCATTCCCTTAAATTAGTGAGTCAATCTTTAATCTTATATTAAAGAAATTCATATAATCTAAATATATGCGTAAAGTAAAAAAAATATTACCTTATAAATATGGGAAATAATTGCCAGATAATTACCATGACAACCTCCTAGATCCGCCCCTCTATATGAGGTCTGAAATTGTTTTTTATTAAGTTTATATGAATCCATATGTTACATGCTGCCCACAAAAATAAATCAAATCAAATCAAATAAATAAATAAAAAGTGGAGGTATTATTTTTTTTTCTTGGATTTTTTCACTTTATTAGGTAAAGATCATGTATTTTGTGCATGAAGTTCCTGGCTAAAAGTCAAGAGGTTAATGATTAAAGGAAAAATGACAAATCACCTTTTCGATATGTTTAGAAGAATAAAGAAATTGTGAAGTGATTCTTGTGGGCTTAAATTATTCTTGAATCGTTAATTTTCTCTTATTAGTCAAAGAAATCTTTGTCAAAAAAATAATGTATTGTTTATATGATAAAATATTAGTAGTTTATATTCGTATTCGAGCTCGATTATTTTGAATTTGCTCTACGCAGAACTCCATTAGGGGGGAAAGCGCTTTGTATCAATGATTTTTTCATATATAGGGCTCGAACTCGAGACCTCTGATTAAGGAATGAGCAATCACATATTAAAGACAAACGTTTCTTTACACACATATATATAGATGTAAATGTTCGGCCATGAATGTATAATCAACTTGATATACTTAAATTTGGTCTGATTGAAAGTTAGAGACAAATCTAGAATTTGAAGTTTATAAATTTAAATTTATAATTTTACTACAATGTCTATGTAAATAATTACGACATATGATTAAAATATCAAAGTCATCATAGAGAAGAGTGTCATCAAATTTTCTAATAACAGACTTGTGGCAATTTAAAAATCAAATTCAAGCATACTTGGAAAACACTTGCATCGAGGACGTAGCAACAATAAGTATAGAAAAACTACGCATATATGACTAACTTC